AAAAAAAAAAAAACTTGTTAGAGACTCGTATTATTAAATATATCCCCACATCTAGCAAATCTCAAATTCTTTACTAACTTGAACGCAATGATTGCAATCTTTTAGGTTGTGTGTTGACACCAGTGATTAGCTACATGGTTTCTATCTGCAGCCAGTTTTTCCTACAAAACACCCACATTGGCACATGGACAATGCAAAGAAAGGGAGCAACAAGAAACGTGGCAAGAGAATCAAAACTAATCAAAGCAATTAGGCAATTTGGTTAAGGGAACTTTAGGAGGGTATGGATGTATGTAACCCCAGATCGGAAATTTTAATCACAATTGTATTTGTAAGGTGAGAGCCAGCACATCAACACGTGAATGGCATGTGCTTAGGTATTGAGGTGGAGGGCTGTCCTTTGAGCTTTACCTACCTCTTTTGGCCGGCTGCCCCTTCCCATGTGGGGGCATCTGTGGAACTTAGAGCACGGTCTATTTTTTCAATGACCCACATGCAGTGCATGGACCATGGTGCATTTGGATAAACCTCTACCCTTCACAAAATTAGGCCTAATCCTATTATTAACTTCCCTAGCGTATTCGGTATCCTTTCTCATATTAGACGATGTTTTTTTTTTCTTTTTAATTTCACACGGAATTCAATGTGACACGAAGGCTGTCATAGGACTAATTTTTGGTCACCAAAGCTATCACGACGATGATCTAAAAAGATAGTACATTTCTTGACGTTCTAAATAGAACGTTTGTTCTCTGATAAATTTTCACCTTTTTTTTCTAAATTGTTCAACCTTAATGCTTTTTTTTTATCGAGGTGGTTATTCAGAGCGTAGAATCACCTGTTAGAGCTTAAAATTCAACCCTTTAGTCTTGAATTGGTTAATTATTTAAATTTTAGGTTTTAAGTATCACATTTGCACTTAAAACCTAAAATATAAGCTCTAAACGAGGAATCTATCCTTCAAATAATCAAATCATGTGAATGAACGGATATCGTACAGAGAAAATCTCAAGTATAACTAGAGTACGGTGGACTAAGGGGTGGTTTGGGAGTGAGGTGCTTAAAAAAAAGGAGTAATTAGGTTTTCATCCTTATTTTTACTACTCTATTGATTAAAACCTTATTACTTTTCAATTTTTGATCAAGGTCCTTTGTATTAATAATATCATTAATTATTTCAATAATAAAATATTTTTTATTTCTAAATATATTCATTTAATATTAAAAATGTTACAATTAGTATATTTATATTTATGGCTAAATTTTTTATCATATATTTTTATTTTTAGTTTGTACCCATTTTTAATTTGCAACCCTTTTTTAATTTGTACCAATTTTCCTTTCAGTTTTAATTTGTACCCATATATTAATTCTTTTTTGTGCCCATATTTTTTTTAAAGTTTTTATTTATTGTACCCATATTTTTTTATTTATTTTGTACCCATTTTTATTTTTGCTAAATGTACCCATGTTTTGATACAATAATTTTTGGTTATTTTTTATGAATGTACCCATGTTTACACACACACACACACACAATAGTATATTTATATTTTAATATTTTTAATCCCACAAATTATGGTTTTTTATTTAAAATCTCATTACTATAAACAACTATAAATTTTAATTTTTAATTTAAAAAATATAGTAACGTACATAGAAATAAATCATCAATTAATTTCAGGGACTTGGATCAAAAATTGAAAACCAACAAGGTTTCAGTCAAAGACTGTTCATAACTAGGGACCGCATCCAAAGTCTCCCTAAAAAAAAACATCCATGAAAAAAAGATGTGAGGGTTTTAAGTGTTTGGTAAACTAAAAAAAAAAGGCTTATTTTGGAAGCTGCTGTGAGAATAAGTTGAAATCAAAGGAAAAAGCTGAAGCTACTATTTGCAGCTTTGGAAAACTGGTTTTTTTTCAAAGCACACAGAGCTACAGTGCTCCTTTAATGAAAAGACCTACTATCAGACTGCTTTTTTTTCCAAAAGCACTTTTACAAAAAAGTTTACCAAACACTCTGCTGATTTATTTCATAGCCGCTTATTCTCACAGCACAGCCACTTATTCTCACAGCAGTTTTTTTTCAAAGCACAACAATACCAAACTAGCCCTAAGCAATCTATTAGGAATAACAAAACTAGCCAACTTACACGCAAACGAAACAAGAAGCCCCTTTATAGGACGTCACGCATTCGAGTACCAAAGTAAAGGTTTCAAGAGAGTAGATAAAAGAGCAGTAGTAGGTGCTCATGTCACTATCTTCTTCGAAATGAATATAAAGTTTACTTATATCTTTCTACTACCCAATCGAGATACTAAGCTGCAAAGGCTTGTGGCAATTATTCATACGGGATCAATGAAATCTCCAGCCGGAAAGAATAAAGAAGATCGAGGTAATCAGTTAAGCAAGTATACGACTTCTACGACTCTACTTGGCTCTTTTGTGAGCTTCTTATAAGTAGCCTAAGCTCACAACAACAGCAGCAACAGCAACTCCTACCGCTTCTTGTGCCAGTACGGTGCTGTCCTTAGCACTTGCCTTACAGGAAGTGGGGTTTGGAGTAAACCCGAGTTCCGAAAGTTTCTTATGCGATCCAGCATAATCTCTTCAAAATGCTTCCTCATCCTGTCATGCGCCAAATTTAACAAAAGTAAGAAAAGGAATGTCAAATAAAAAAGCATAAATAAACTCGCAACAATAGCTAATTTTATAGATATCTAAAAAAATCCTAATTTTATACATATTTGATTTTACGTGGTCCAATAACTTAGTGGATAGGGTGTTTCCACCCATGCATCCTGATTTCGGAACTCCCCCTCCCCTACATTATTGGAATAGTTTCAAACCCTTCCCCTCCCCTTAAAAATAAAAAAATAAAAACATCAAAACCAAACAAAGGGATGGGCAAGAGATAACTGGGTCGGGATGCCACTCATCATCCCAAACTTCCCCTTAAAATTCATCAGCCCCATCCGCACCTCATGGGGTGTTTTGATCCCCACCCTCAGATGTTCCGTCCCGCCACCTTATATATATTTTTTCTGTATTGGCTAAACGTCCTAAATTCAAACACGTCTTACTAAATATCAAATATTAGTCTAAATGTTAATCACAAATAATCGTACAAACACTGAATTTTGACACAATAATTACTGTAATTAGATGTCAAACCTAATAATTTAAAATAATCAGATAAATCATCTAACTTAATAAAAATGTAACATTCAATAATGATATAAAAATATATATGCACAGCGGGACAGGCACCCCAGCTGGTGCAGGGCCCTGAACTCACGCATGCCCATCCCTAGCTAAGTAACTTGGTCTAACAAAGTTCAGTCAATTCAACCAAACACGAAATTGGGGTTCCGTATCTGCTGCAAATGGGTCCTATCGAAGAACCATGACAAATGTAAAAATTAACCAAATTAGCCTCAGCTTTTAAGTGGCAATGGTCCCAGAAGAGGTGTTCTGTTACTGCATATTTAGGGACAATGAACCTGGTTTAACCCAGTATCGGTTAATATCAATTAAGATAATATGCTAGCCCAAATTGAAGAAAAGGAGAGATAGTTTACTTGAGTAAACTCCATTTCAATCCAGACCGAACCTTTTTTTTATTGGATTGCTTAAAACTTACAAGGCCTTATTAGAACTAAGAAGTAAAACATCTTATAAATGGCTCAATCCAAATCTAGCAATTTCCGAGTGGTTGGCAGGTCAGGGTTGACCAGATCACGCACCACCAGAATATGGGTGAGCCACATTTGATATTTGTTAAAATTACTGCCAATCGACAATATTAAAGTAGCTCTAAACAAACAAAGTAGGTCTGCAAATATAATCTAGCACTAGCAGTGATAAACGACCAACACTGTTTACCAGCAAAATAGGACTGAAACAAGCCCGAACCCAAATTACCTTTATATACAGATCGACATATTTACGGAACTCAGGATCCGCTACTAAAGCTGCATCTGTAGGAAGTTTCAACAACCCCTCTGATTCGTTCAATAGTTCACTATCAACAATGAGTAGCAACAAATGTTCATAATCACATGCAAACATAATGACATAAAATGGTAAATTTTCACCAATTTTTCAAGTCTTACACAAAGTATGAGTTATCAAACTGCAGAGGTTCCTTAGTCCAAGGACCATCAAAACCAGATCTGTTTGGATGTGCCTTCCTTATAAGATGAGAGCAAATGACACAGAGTAAACATGTCTAACTAATAACAAAGAAGAGCATTTATAGATACAAACAAGGAGGAAGAATTACCAGTGTATGACCCCCAGATAGTGCAACAATATCCTTGTCAGACAGCCCCATCATTCTATAGAACTTTTCCCTCAAATGTGGTGCACCCATTATCAAAAGACAAAAGACACCGACAAGAAATTAAATTTCTACTAATGAACAACAAAAACTTGATACACAAGCAAGCATGACAACTTGTCATAAATCTCCAGCATTCTAAATACATTAAGAAACCTAGGAGATGGGGAGAAGTGGGTTGAGTTTTAACATGGATTAGCTTATGGCAATGCCATGGAATAATAGAGCAATCCCACCGTGCAAACCAAGAAACAATCCCAAATCTCAACTTGGAATATAATAGTGATGTGGCAACCAAAAATGAGTAATATTCAAAATAAAAGTTGGAAGCCTCGGTTGCTTCTGTGGCTTTGAAGAGTTCTATAGGAAGCCTGTGCATGCTAATGACTAGAACTATTTGCATAAAGAGCTTGCAACCAATACCAAGAACTACAAATTGAAGACGTACCATGTTCCACATCCTGACATGGATACAAAGTTGCTTAACAAGTATCTCTGACTCTTATAAACTAATAGCAAAACATTTATAGAAGTAACAAATTTGAACAAGAAAACTCTAGGATAATAAATCTCTCTTCCATACAGGCAAACTATGTTACCAGTACCACTGTACTGGGAGAAGTACTCTCCACAGGCATCAAATTTAACTCACACTTGAAATACAGTAAAGATAACCTCACTGTTAAACTCATGCCATCAAGCTCCAATTGCAAATTATTTTGCATGGAAACTTATTCTATGTATATAAAACAGAAGAAATTAGAATAAAACAATGGATTACAAGATAAAATGCTTGAAATAGTGTTCTCCATTATCTTGCACTAGAGAAAGCAAACAGCAATGCAAAAATATAACAGAGATGTTATTAGAGAACTTTTAATCTAGTCTAAACAAAAATGTTCTAAATCTCTGATATTGAAATGCATAACATATATGAATTAAAACCCAACGAAAAAGCTAGCTTATGAGAAATATTAAAATAGGGAAATATAAAACTTGAAGAAGATATCTTAGGTATTGGAATAAACCTCGTTTAGCATCTGGAAGTTGTCCTTCCTTAGGAGAAATTTTAGAATCCTAAGAACAAGTAGAAAAAAGCAGAAGAAAAATTCACAACAGTGATAAGGAAACTAGCCATGTTTCTTGAAATAAGCGATCACTGGCTGCAACACACCTTCCTGCCTGGAGAAATATCAATGGCGGGGCCTCCAGTGACCTCAACTGCAACAACACCTGCAAGCTGAAAATACAAGTAAGCGTGCCCCTTAGTTGCTATCTTCATAAAAGAATCCATGCTATCTCCCACATATTTTTTAGGAAAAACTGTGATGATCTTTGTACAAGCTCTTCATTTGCAAATAATTTGATGAGCTAAAATTATATAACAGGCTGAGTAAATCATTCAGAACTATAATCACCTGGTATAGGTCTGCATATGTAATCCTTGGATGCTTAGACTTCACTTCCTCTGACATAAAAAAGAAGCACCCGTCAAAACACCCTACATTGTATATCTAACTCAAAAGCATGACTCTCAAAAGCATTAATTGTAGGTACTCTTTGTTGAATTAGTGATCATACAATCTTGTATAATGGCCAAAAGGATGGCACTATTATTACACAAATACTGAAACAAGTAAAGCACCTTGGAGACAACATAATATGATACATAATGACAACTTCAATACATAATTGCTTACGTATGGTTTCGTTATAGTTCCCTTATCAGTTTCATTTAGAAAATCAGAATTGAAGCTCACTCAAGTAAGCACATTGTCTTCTCAGTTACATATACAAGACAGTGAAACCATCTAAACATGTTAAATGCTTGGCATTAAGGACTTTTGCTGTCTGAATTGCAAACAAAGACCAATTGTAACATAGATGCACATTCAGTATCACCGATAAACTCACAGAAACAACCAATGAATCAATTAAGCTTGCATAGCATGTCATATGACACCAAAAAAAAAAAAACTTACAATCATCTCGATTCTCGTATACAGAATTGAATGTTGCTTAAATTAATCACTGGTCTTTTCCAACCATAAGATCAACTGATCAAGTTTCGTAAATCGAATAAAGATTGACGATACGGAACAACAGAAACGAACATACCGCAAAAATCAATAGCCTTCTTCAAGCCATTGTTGGAACCATGAGAGTACTCTACCTCGTTACGAATCGACCCATTCGGCCCACCTGTTTTCGTCTTGGCATCGTAGGTCCCAGCATCGTGCCACCTACAAATTCACGCCTCCAAAACAATCAATCACCATAACTCTAACAAAATCGATACAAACAATGACATGCAAACACTTCATTTACAAAGAGAAATCAAAGGCCATTCTGTAAGTATGAAACACCGAGCACTAGTTATGTTGGCTACTGAGAAAATGCAAGCAACCGAATCGGATATTTCATTCATCGAAAATTTTCTCGGGAAAAAAAAAACATAAGAGAAAGAGAGAGCATACGACAAGCGGAGCATGATCGGAGCGCAGCTTCTGCTGTAAACGAGAGCGCGGAGATAGCTGCGAGCCTTGTCGATTTCGTTGAAATACTCTTTGTCAACGAGCGGCGACGTCATCGGAACTGGAAGTCGGTGCTCGACGGCGACTCGGAGCGAAGAGAGAACAATGAGAGTGATAGTGCAACTGCAACCGTGCAAATGAGATTTTGAAAGGGAGAGAGCCAAAGGCCCGTCAAATGAGCGGACCCGCACTGGCCGTGCTCACAAGGTCATAATGGTCATTTCGGTCTTCTTAGAAATAGAAAATTCAAAGTTCAATTAATTTTCCACTAGAAGGAGAGAGGAAGAAAGTGATAAAGAATGTGGGAGTGAGAATTTTTTTTTTGTTTTGTTTTTTTTAAATTAGAGATATGTTAGGATTACATGTAGGTGAGACTTTGAAAAAAAAAACAAAATTTAGTTGTGTGAAATTACAATTCTGCCCCATATTTCTTATTCATGTGCTTTTTTAATTAGATGGTTAAACTGGTAATTTCATAGGGTTTTGATTGACAATGAGTGTTTTATTAATTAGTAGAGATTTTGTTAGATTTGGTTTAACTGCTAGTATGGTCAAATTTTTTATTTTTATTTTTAAAATTGAATGAAAAATGAAGAGAGTGAGAGTGAACATGGTAGTGGGGCGAAAGGGAGAGAGGCTTATTCTTTATTTTTTATTTTATAATTTTTTTAAATTAAAGATATTAAAATCACCTATAAGTGAGGCTTATACAAAAAACAGTAAAATTTTATTTTGTAAAATTACATTACTGCTCTTACCTTTTTCGGTGTGATAAAAGACTAATTAGTTTTTTCACCCTCTTTTGATTGACAAAAAGAATTCTATTAATATGTAGTTTAGATACCATTGTTAAATTAAATTTTCAATTAAAATATCATAATTTAAGGTCTTAACCTTTATTCAATTTTGATTTCCCTATAATTCCTTTTCTCATATTGGAGTGAATTGAACTTGAAGTCAAACAATCATATAAAGGGGTTGAGCGCTGTTTGGTCAAGTGTCATTTTCTTGATTAATTGATTCAAGGTTGTCGGGCAATGTTACAGCATGACTGATGGTGTGATGAGATCAAATATAATAGTAAAAAAAAAAAAAGGAGTTGAAGGCTCAAAATTAAATCTAACGTTTAAAATAATTTTAGAAAATTATTTAAATCAAATTTAACTTAAAATTTTATAAATATCTATGTATTTGTATAATTTTTAATTTCTTATCAGAATTTAAATATTTTTAGATTTAAATGTTCATAAAAATAAATTAGTATAATCCAAATAAATTTTATTTGCAAAAAAAAATTACTAAAAACAAAAAGTTAGGCTAAAATCATTATTTTGTTGTGGCCTATATTAAACTGACAAGGAGAAGGGGTCGGCGGCACAAAGAAAATATAAAGAGAGATGTGTTTGATGGGTTGTGTAGAGAATGTGTTATTTCCCCTACACAGTGCCCTTATTTATAGTAATTAGGGAAGGAATAAATCATTCTCCTCCAAGGAATACAAATCCTAATAGAGAAGAATAACTATAATCAAATCTAATCTAGGATTTACACAATCACACTTAAATAAGAAGTTTATAACACTCCCCCTTGAGTGTGTAAATACTCAAGTAGATTTGGCATTATGTAGAGTTGAGAAAGCCAACTCGTCGGCATTGATTCTGGGAACACGCTAGTCTCAAAGTATAGTAAGAACTTGCATGTGGAACTAAGTCTCACAAAAAACCCAATGACTATGGTCAACCCGAGTAGGGACAAAACCCATTGGCTAAGGAAAAATGCGTGAGAAATACAAAGTCAAATGAAATGTCTACGGGACATCATTAAGGATATAATCAACCCAAGGTGGGTGCCTCATCAAAACCTTGTTAGGTAGCAAAAACCCAATGGAAAAAATGCTCTTAATCGTAAGAAAAAGAGTACATTAAGATCAAGTAAGTATACTTCAAGATACTCCCCTTGAGTTTGACATAATTCCAAAGAGAACTAACAATGTTACAACTCAAAAAGTTTAGGCATACCAATTCCTTGAACAAGCTTCTGAAACGTCACATTCGGTAGTGATTTGGTGAAGAGGTCGGCCAGATTGTCTTATGAATGGATTTGCGTGACTTCAATCTTTTGATGCTCTTGTTGTTGATGTGAGAAGAAAAACTTTGGTGCAATGTGCTTAGTGTCGTCTCATTTGATGTAACCCTTATTGAGTTGTTCGATGCATGATGCGTTGTCTTTATAGATCGTCGTCGGAATGTCACTGACGGGGTAAAGGTTGCAGGAGCCTTGAATATGGCCAACAACTACTCTCAACCATTATAGGGCGAGAATTTCAACATGGTTATATGAAGTGGCAACTAAGGTCTGTTTAGTTAACCTCTAAGAGAATGCGGTGCCTCAAACGGTAAAGGCATAACCTGTTTGAGAGCGCGCCTTATGCGGATCAGATAAGTATCCTGCATCGGCATAACCAACAAGGTGAGAATCGATTCGAGATAAAGGGTGTAGCATCACTTGAGGATCCGTAAGGATAGAACAAGCCCAAATCTGTGGTACCCTTAAGGTAACGAAAAATATCTTTAACACCAGTCCAGTGTCTGCGTGTTAATGCATTACTGTATCTTGTCAAAAGGTTAATAGCAAAGGAGATGTCGAGTCTAGTGCATTAAGCTAAGTACAATAACCTATCGCAATTAGATAAGGAACTTCAGGCTCCAAAATCTCTTCATCTTCCTCATTCAGATGGAAGGGATCTCCTTTTGCATCTAACGATCTAACGACCATAAGAGTACTCGAAGGCTTTGCTTTATCCTGGTTAAAGCGGCCCAACACTTTCTCTGGGTGTAGTTTGATTGATGTACGAAGATTCCATCTAAACAGTGCTCTATCTCAAGACCAAGACAATATCGAGTCATTCCTAGATCTTTCATCTCAAATTTCAACTTAAGGTGCGCGGTAGTTCTCTCGAGCTCTTCAGAAGTTTCGTTGAGGTTTATGTCGTCGACATGAACTGCAACTATCGTAAAACCGGAATGTGACTTTTTAATGAACACACAAGGGCATAGTTCATTGTTCACATATCCCTAACTAATCAAATACTCACTCAAACGGTTATACCACATTCTTTCGGATTGCTTCAAATTGTAGAGTGAACGCCTCAGCTGAATTGAGAGTGTGTTCCAGGATTTGGAAATATTTGATCCAGCCAATGTAAGTCATTCAGGAACTTTCATATAAATTTTCGTATCAAGATCCCCATAGAGATACACAGTTACTACGTCCATCAGCTGCATACTCAGTTTTTCAGAAACTACCAAACTGATAAGGTAGCAAAAAGTAATCACATCCATAATGGGTGAATAAGTTTCGTTATAGTCAATCCGGGGACGTTGTGAGAAGCCTTGCGCAACAAGATTTGTAATGCACATTTTGTTTTTCTTATTACGCTTCCGAATGAAAACCCACTTGTATCCAACGGGTTTCACATGTGGAGAATTAGGAGCTAAGTGAATCAAGTTTGACTTTGACTTGGATTCATCAACAGAATGGGGTTCAATGTCATTGCTCAACATGATCTCAGTAGCTACTACATATGTTAATGCATCGTCGACGATCATCTCATTTCTACTATGGGTGGGCACTTGGAACCAAAAACCGAAACATGAATCAAATCAGACCGTACCAAACGGTTCGGTTTTATGGTTTTGAAACGGTTGCGGTTTCGAAACTGAACAGCGGCTAAGAAAATGGTTTAGTTTCAGTTTTGGGTTTTCAAAACCTCACCGAAACTGAAACTGCACCATATATTGAAATGTTATGTTCTAATTGGTTCTTTATTAGAGTCCATACATGTATAGTATGAACTCAACTACACTAGAATAGAATGTCATCAAATTTTGCACCTCTATTCGACTCCATACATCTCTCTATCTCTCTCTCAAAACTCATGTTCTTCTATCTGGCCACACACAAAAAGATGTGTAGTCAACAAGTAGAATTACTAATTCCAACCCTTGATCATAACACTTCACTCGATCTAAATAATGCACATAGTTCATAGATGTGCTAGAAGCTTAAACCTGATTAATGTAGCACACTTGTAAATAGCAACATTCTTTCGCTTGAGAAATGTGCTTCATAATAGTGTTTATCTTGATATATAACTTAAACAAATTGTGCAATATGAAAAATGTATACATATATACTTTCTTTAATGCTTGTGTGTTGTATATTAGTGCTACTATTGCATATGGTCAGACAAATCTCTCTATTTCTGACTTCCTTTGCTGCAGTTTTTTTTGTTTTTTTTGGTGAACTCTTTTGCTGCAAGTTCATTGATTAATGTACAAGGAAAATAAGATCGTCTTATAAGTAAATAGGTGTAAATTTAAAATTGTAATTTTTTTCTCAAAAACCCAAACCGAAACCGTTTAAAACCACACCAAACCAAATTAAACGATTTGATTTCATTTCGATTTTGGCTTCAAAACCGCACCGTAAAAAGTTTCAATTTTGGTGCAGATTCATGGGCCACCCCTAATTTCTACACAAACATCATCCAAGCTAGCATAATGGACCGAAATCTCACGTTTTTTTTGAGGTGGATTCGTCTCTTCAAGGACGTTTCCGTAATCTAGAATTTCCTCATGAGTTGGATAGAATAAGTAGGCGATAGTGGGATTCACGGTAGGCTCTTCAGGGGCCTGTGTCGTGGGTTTCCTTTTCCAGGGGTATGAATCCTTTAAGCCAAGAGGTCTGCCACGCTTTTGTGTAGGGGCAGATGATTGCCTACCCGCTAATGTATCATCTGTCAAAGGTTCTAAGTAACGAATGATTGAAGGAGAATCATATCCGACATAGATTCTTATCCTTCTCTGAGGCCTTATTTTTGTACCTAGGGCGGCAAAATCGGCACATAAATTGCACAACCAAAAACGCACAGATGTGATATGTCGAGTTCGTATTCGGTAACCAACTGAATGACGCTATATGGTTAGGTCACAACATGCCTCAGGTGGACCAATATGGATGCATGAAATATTGCATGTCCCCAAGCAGTGATTGGGAGCTTGGTACGTATGACCAACGATTAAGCAATCATTTGTAAACGCTTAATAAATGATTATGCCAGGCAGTTGTGGGTATGAACATGAGGTACTTGATGTTCAATTCAACCCCAATCGACATGCAATAATCATCAAAAGTTTTAGATGTGAATTCTACTAGCATTATCCAATCAAATAGATTTGATCGAATAATTAGGGTGGTGAGCCATGAGCTTGTTAATTTGAGCCACCAGTGTAGAAAAGGCAACGTTCCTTGTGGACAACAAGCATATATGTGACCAACATGTGGAAGTGTTAACCAATACCATAAAATATCTAAATAGTCCGTATGGAGGGTGAATCGGTCCACAAATGTCCCCCTAAATCCATTGTAGAAAAATAGGATGATTCGAATGAATTTTTGTCATAAGAAGACTTAATAATAAGATTTCCCATAAAACAGGTTTGACATGTGATTCCTTGAATCAGGCCTAAACTTCAAGTCATCAGATGTATGTGTGATGATTTGAGGATACGGCGCATCGCTGTTTGTCCATGGTGTCCCAAATGATCATGCCAAAGTGTAATTTCGTGCGTGGTCCCTCAGGTAGGGCCGACCACATAGTGGCTCTCTATAGGGCGTATGATTGTAATATACAGACCACTCGAGATACGGGTCCTAATAGGGAAGAATAAATGTAATAAAGTCTAATCTAGGATTTACACAATCACACTTAAATAAGAAGTTTATAACATATTTGGTAATCTCGGGCTAAAATTTTTAGTCATAAGGGTTGGAGAAAAAAAAAACAGTTTTTGGCTTATGGCTTAAATTTTTAAGCTTGATCCCCCGGGTTGGTGATGGACTTAGAGTGATGTGATAGTTTGCTTGCCCATTTTTCGAGAACTTATAACTCTAATTTTACGTGACTTTATAAGAGCATATTTGAAGAAATTAGTAAAAAAGAAATTAAGAGTGTCATTTGCTGATTTATTTGGCACTTTTATATCACTTTAAAAATTTCTCACTTCAACACGCTCTCCAATTAGCTATTCAAATTTTACATTTATTTTAAAATATTAATGTATTAACGTTGTCTTATTTTATAGGACCCAAATTTTATTTTCACTCTTTACCAAATAATACTTTTGAACAAAATATATTGCGGGACCCAATTACTAACTTGAAGAAGTAATAACTGATCTTGTATCAGCTGCAAATTCTTTAATTTGCTAATTGGGTTGCTACTTTTATTGGAGATGCATTTTTCTTATATGGCATAAAAAATTTAACTTTGTTACCCAATTGTTACTCCTGTTAGAGATGCTCTAACTATAATAGCAAAACAGTTACCTACAACAAAATTTGAAGTTCCATTTTTTTAAATGAAATAACTAGGGATGTTGGACAAGCTTTGTGTAAAGGAGATTAACTACATGAAACAAATTCAAAGCCACATGATGTTATAATTCATATGCAATATCATATTAAAAAAAATACACAACATTATATCATAAGATCATGACATTACGGTAACAATGAAACTTGTTTTATAAAGTGTTTAAAATATATGTATCGATGGAAATATTGATATGCAAATTTGTGGAAATATCAATGGATATATCAATATCAATTGCCTTTGGTGAAAATGGTGGAAATTGGCTCAAAAACATGAAAATTTAAAGTTATTGTCTAGGAAATGTCATATGAAGTCACAATGCACGTATGAATCAAGAATTAATGAGTAGATATTGTGTAAAAAATAAGTATGTGATATGTGAAAAAGAAAACTTATTTCTAATGACAAGTAATAAAATAAATGTCACATCCCGGGCTCGACTCTGCCATAGCACGATATTGTTCGCTTTGGGTCCCTACCACACCCTCACGGTTTTGTTTCTGAGAACTCACACGAGAACTTCTTAGTGGGTCACCCATCATGAAATTGTTCTCGCGCAAACTCGCTTAACTTCAAAGTTCCGATGGAACCCGAAGCCGGTGAGCTCTCAAAAAGCCTCATGCTAGGAAGATATGGGAATATACATATAAGGCTTACAGGATTTAGTCCCCTGAGTGATGTGGGATGTTACAATCCACCCCCCTTAGGGGCCCGACGTCTTCGCCGGCACACTTCCGACCAGGGATTGGCCTAAAAGATTAAGTGCTACCGAAGATAAAGCACACACAGGTTTTGGTTGAATGTTTGGGATACTCTCCATTGATCTCAGAATAAGATATTTATACAATTTCATAGAGACTTTACAGGCTTTGACAAACTGTACAAGGAAAGATTTTACAATTGAATATGTGCATACAATTAGGAAGCTTAATAAGGTAAATGAATGTGATTATGATTCATGGGCTAATGAGCTTGATTCACTCCATCTTGTCTATCACACCCCCGCAAGCTGACGGGGCAAAGAAGCATGGGAAGCTTGGATATGAGATAGCGAAAATGAGTAATGGACATGCCTTTGGTAAATATGTCAGCAATCTGATCATGAGTAGAAAGATAAAGGACTTGTAGCTCGTTACGAACTACCTTTTCACGAACAAAGTGATAATCCACCTTAACATGACGAGTACGGGTATGAAAAACAGAATTTGAGGCTAAGGATATGCGCTAATATTATCACAAAGGACTGTTAGATAAGACAGTGGAAGGCAAAGATCACGAAAAAGCTTACGGAACCATGAAATTGTAGCAGCAGTGTAGGCAAGCTGACAGTACTCCGCTTCGGTTCTTAAACGGGAAACCCTACGTTGTTTCTTGGAGATCCAAGAGACAAGGTTTGAACCAATATAAATGCAATATCCACTAGTGGAATGCCGGTCATCAGGATCGCCGGCATAATCGGCATCAGAATAAGCAGTGAGAATAATGGAGCCAGGTTTATATGTAATACCATGAGAGGAAGTACCAACCAAATATCGTAGGATACGTTTGATAGCCAACCAATGGATAGAAGTGGGTTGATGCATAAATTGACAGACTTGGTTGACCGCAAATGCAATGTCAGGACGAGTGAGAGTAAGGTATTGGAGAACACTTACAACACTTCGGTATTCTGTCGGATCAGGAAGAGGGTCTCCATCTTGAAGGCTGAGCCTGCGACCGCTAACATCGGGGGTATGAACAGGTTTAGCTGTTGCCATTTTGGTACGCAATAGAAGATCCTGTACATATTTTTGTTGAGAAAGAAATAAGCCATCCGATGTCTGGACAATCTCCATGCCGAGGAAATAATTAGCAAGGCCTAAATCTTTCATAGCGAAACGACGTCCTAAGTCAGCAATCAACCGAGCAATATGAGACATATCATTCCCTGTGACCAAAATATCATCGACATAGATAAGCAGATAAATGCGTATAGAGCCATTAAGATAAATGAAAAGAGATGTGTCAGCCTGAGAAGGCGAGAAACCCAAGTCTTCCAAGTGCGAAGAGAAACATTGAAACCATGCCCGAGGGGCTTGTTTGAGGCCATAAAGAGATCGCTGAAGTTTACAAACATGAACAGGGAATTGGAAATCCACAAAACCAATTGGCTAGCGCATATAGACTTCTTCAGATAAAAAACAATGTAAAAATGCATTTTGAACGTCAAGTTGACAGACTGGCCACCGAAACTGAATGGATAGTGCAAGGATGAGACGAATGGTGGAATGGTTGACCATGGGGTTGAAGGTTTCACCATAATCGAGTCCAGGTTATTGATGGAATCCATTTGCAACAAGGCGGGCTTTGAAACGTTGAATAGAGCCATTAGAGTTCCTCTTGATACTGAAGACCCATTTGTTTGGCAAAATGTTCATTGAATAAGTACGGGGAACAAAGACCCAGGTACGGGGTCGTTGAAGAGCATTGAATTCATCTGCCATAGCCTGACGCCACTTAGGAAATTTGTTTGCTTGACTGAAACAAGTAGGCTCAATGAAAATTGTTGATGCACAAAATCAGTGAGGACTTTGGTATAACAGAAAGTGTTAAGTTTGTGACCTTCACTAGATTGCTTCAGTCATTAGTGTAGATAAGTATGTAACTGAATAGAGATAGGGAAGCAAACACAAGGTGTACGTGGTTCACCCAGATTGGCTACGTCCACGGAGTAGATGAGTTCTCATTAATTGTGAAGGGTTTACACAAGTATATAGGTTCAAGCTCTCCTTTAGTGAGTACTAGTGAATGATTTAGTAAAAATGACATTAGAAAATATTGTGAAAGAATGATCTCTATTTATAGAAGAGAGTTTCTAGTTTCATTCTGACATTAACACGTTTCTTGTTGTGATTAGCTTCTGATGTTGACACGTGTTGTGCTATGATTGGCTTCTGATGTAGGGAAACTTTTCTGGGTCCTTGACGGTATAAGGTTGATCGGTGCTCAGTAGTTTCGGGATTGGTCAAGTATGGTACAAACAGTGCTCCCCTAAGTTCCCGAGTGAGGGAAGTTCCTCGGTTGGGGACTTGCAATATCCAAGCCATTGAATAATCACGAAACTTCTAAGTACCGAAGTGTGGTATCATTTTCACTTGCCTTATCTGTTTCATATGTAGATGTGGCATCTTCTCTGGAAGTACTTTTCCTCCATCCAGGGGTGGTATCTTTAACCAATGAAGATGCACAAGGTAATGTATCAATTTCACTTGAAGCTTACTTGTAGTTTCAAGCTTGGTCAAGTGCGATACAAACCCTATAGTAGAAGTCCCCCAAGTCGCCAAGCTAGGAGATTTGCCAAATGAGGTAACATACAAGGTAAGCAATCAAACTTCTAAGCAAGCAACCTGGATCATAGGTTCGACTTCGGCTTCCGGTTGATTGTTCTCATTCTCCTTGTGTCGTAAACAGCAACCAAGATAAGGAGAAGCAAATGGAGAAAAGATGATATGAGATACTTTTGCTTTTGAAGAAGTAACTTTCCATAGGCTTATTCTTGAACTGGGCTGGAAGGTTTTCTGGTTTCCTCCAAAGTATAAGGCCGACTCAAGAATTTGAGGGTCAAAACAAGTCCATCAAATCTAGAGTACGTTCAACCCTGATGATATGAGATATTTTTGCTGTTGACAAAGTAGTGGATGTATCGGCACGTGTTCTGTTACGTTTGTCTCCATATGCTTCCTTGTATCCTTCTCACTTGCCCTATCTGTTCCTCAGGCAGATGTGGTATCTTCTCAAGAAGCATAAGATGTTGAAGATGAGTACTCAAGAGAAATGCTAGTAAGTAATCAGGCAAGGGGTTCCAGGCAGTCAGTTCCTGACTGGAAGCTTGATTCCAAGTATTGACTAATTGCTCTCTTTCTCCTTGTCTTGCAGGTAAGAACAAGGGCAAAAGAAAAGACAGGGAAAAAGCATGATATAGGATACTCTTGCTTTTGACCCTGATGATATGAAATACTCTTGCCCTGGTGTGGCTGGTTTGCATAGGTATTATTGGAGGGGGAAGAAAGCTGAATATTTCGATAGACTTCGTTGGGAGTGCCCTCTCAGATATGAGGAAAGGTTGATTATTTTTGCATGTCTGCCTGTCCGTGGAGGATGGAGGTCAACATATATAGGAGTCTCCCTAACAACAAGTAGTAATGCTATTCATTTACCCTTCTTGGTCATAGCAATGTAGTGGGAGCTGTAAGCTTCACGTGTTTTAACTTTGTCAGAGCACTTTGAAAAAGTGGTTTATGGTATCTGGAAAGCTGATATTGCGTGTGAATATTGCAAACAAGCTTTATCTAAGGAAATCTGGCTCTCGAAGTTCTGAGAACGGTGCCTATTTGGTTTTCGAACAAGCAATCTTGTCAGGGATCTGGCTCTCAAGATTTGAAAAACGGTGCCTTTTCATTTTTTAAGAAAGCAATCATGTTAGGAGTCTGGCTCTTGAGATTCAGAGAGCGGTGTCTATTCAATTTTTGAGAAAGTAATCTTGTTGGGAGCCCGGCTCTCGAGATTCGGAAGGCGGTGCCTCTTCGATTTTTGAGTAAATAATCATGTTGGGAGTTTGGCTCTCGAGAATTGGAGAGCAGTGCCTCTTCAATTTTTTAGCAAGCAATCTTATTGGGAGTGTTTTCTCGAATGTGAGTAAAGGTTGGACATTTTTGCCAGTCTGCCTTGCCACTGAGCACGAAGGTTGACACACATAGGGACTTTCCAGTTATCAAGCAGTGGTGTTGTTCTTTTACCCTTGTGGGCAATAGTAGGGTAGCTGGACCTTCAAAATTTATGTGTCTAAACTTTGTCAGAGATCTTTGGCAAAGTTATCTGTGGTACCCGAGAAGCTGATGTTGCGTGTGGAAAATGGTGCTTTTTTGAAATCTGGAGAATGGTGCATCTTCGATTTTTGAACCTACGGCCATGTTGCCCTTTCTTTTATAAGGGCACCAATTATGTGCAAGAAGTACATTCAGAGCTTTTAGGAATGTTTCCTTTATTTTTGTACTTCAGAGATTTATTGGACCTCATTTCTCTTTTATCATTTTTGAAAATGTCTAGCCCATCTGACCGTCGGTTTGACTTGAACTTTGGTGAAGAGGCAACTAGGTCTCCTCAAGACAACATATGGCCCACATCCTTCTTATCCCCTATTAGTCCTCTGATCGTTGGAGACTCTATAATGAAGAATGATATGACCCTGCGGTGGTGGTCATGAACCTTTTCACTCCCAAAGATAACAGACTACTTTCCAAACGGTCTGATGAGTTAGTTGTTAAGGATTCTCTGGCTTTCAGTGTTTAATGTGCAGGTTCTGTGTCTAATATAGTCCAACGCTTATTTGCTCGAACCCGCCAAGTTGAATCATTGGCGACTGACGTGATAAGTCTCAAACAGGAGATTAGAGGGCTCAAGCATGAGAATAAACAGTTGCACATGCTCGCACATGACTATGCTACAAACATGAAGAGGAAGCTTGACCAGATGCAAGAATCTGATGGTCAGATTTTACTTGATCATCAGAGGTTTGTGAGCTTGTTCCAAAGGCATTGCTGTACCGCGTAATGAAGCTCCAAATGATCAACCTCCAATGCCTCATCCTTCTGGGGTTCTGTCCAGTACTGAAGCTCCGAATGATCACCCTCCGGTGCCTTCTCTTTCTGGGGCTCTCCCGACTGCTGAGACTTCTTCTAAGCGACCTTTGTGAATGCTCCATCTTGTTTGTTTATTTTGACTCATGTATATGTACATATTTGTAACTTATCGGAGATATCAATAAATAAGCTTTGCTTCATTTCAACGTATTGTGTTAAATACACCAAAGCCATCTTCACTAAGTTCTTTGAATTTTTTCTTTTGTTGAAGCTTGTATGTTGAAGCTTTGTGAGTGAAGCATGTAAGTTGAGGTAGTGTTCTCTTAATCTCCCGAGTGAGGAAAACTTCTTGGTTGGAGACTTGAAGAATCCAAGTCACTGAGTGGTCGTGAGACTTCCGAGTATCAAGGTGCAGTAGCATATGGTAGGAGTCTCCCAAGTCTCCAATCGATGGAGTTGACAAATGAGGTGTCTTGCTAGTAGCCAAGCTTCCAAAGTAACAAAACTTCACCATTTTCCTTTCTAAGTGGTAACCCAAAACTCCTTCTTCATTTATATTTGTTATGAAAGTTGTTAGGTCCAAAGAAGAGGAAGCCTAGGCAATTTTTTTTTTTCGAATTTTCGAATGTTTTTTTTTCTTCTAATTTTCGAATTTCAGAAAAAATATATATATATATATTTTAAGCCTTGGTGTTGAAGCTTTGTAGGTGAAGCTTTGGGGTTAAAGCTTTGTTGGGTAATATGAATTGATTTTGCTTCACACTATCTTGATCAAGAGTGTGTGAAGCTTTTGTAGGTGAAGCTTTTGTGTTGAAGCTTTGTAAGTGAAGCTTTTGTGGGTCAAGCTTTTGTGGGTGAAGCTTTTGTGGGTGAAGCTTTTATGGGTCAAGCTTTTGTGGGTGAAGCTTTTGTAGGTGAAGCTTTTGTGTTGAAGCTTTTGTAGGTGAAGCTTTGGAGTTGAAGCTTTGTAGGTAAAGCTTTGGAGTTGAAGCTTTTGTTAGGTACCATGAATTGATTTTACTTCACACTATCTTGATCAAGATAGTGTGAAGCTTTTGAGAATTTGTAGTTGTCCTCCATTGATGAAGCTTTTGTTGGTGAAGCTTTTGAGTTGAAGCTTTGTAGGTGAAGCTTTGAAGTTGAAGCTTTGTAGGTGAAGCTTTGTACGCCAAGCTTTGGAGTTGAAGCTTTGGAGTTAAAGCTTTTGTTGGATACCATGAATTGATTTTGCTTCACACTATCTTGATCAAGATAGTGTGAAGCTTTTGAGAATTTGTAGTTGTCCTCCATTGATGAAGCTTTTGTTGAATTTCCCAATTTCCTTTTTTTTTTTGGGGGAAAATTAGAAATTTGAAAATGTGGGAGAGACAACATATACAAATTTTGCTTCCACACTGTTGAGCAAGAGATTGTGATGCAAGCCACACCTTGTAGTAGTCGAAAGTTTGGATGAACCATATAAATTGAATTTGCTTTGAACAGTATTGATCAAGAGTGTGTGAAGCTTTCTACGAGTTGTAGTTGTCCTTCATTGATGAAGCTTTTGTTGGCACCATAAATTGGTTTTGCTTCACACTGTCTTGATCAAGAGTATGTGAAGCTTTTGAGAATTATGGTTGCCCTCCATTGATGAAGCTTTTGTTGGCACCATAAATTGGTTTTGCTTCGTAGTGTCTTGATCAAGAGTGTGTGAAGGTTTTGAGAATTGTGGTTGCCCTTCATTGATGAAGCTCTTGTTGGCACCATAAAT